TCAAGTACAGGCCTAATAATAGCTTATTACTGGTTTTAACCATAGTCGAGTACAGATTCTGCACCCAAAGAAAAACCTCAATCAATTTTGATAGAGAAATTTTATCAAGGGTTTATGATAATGTTTTATTAATATGAACAAAATAATTATTCTTATAAATAATTATTGTTCAAGACAAGAAAAAAAATGATCATTTTGATAAATATATCATAGATTCAATAGTATTGATATATTTATCAAATTGAACAATGAATTTATTATATAGATCGAGGTTTTTCTCTGGGTGTGTAAAACTATTGGCGCAATACAGATCCTACATTGGCACATATAATATATACGTTAATAACGATTAAAGTTTGTAATAATACTCCAACTTAAATGTATATTTTTTAATTACGTCTTTTAAAAATTTAATACATATAGATTTAAGATAAAATATCACTCTTATTTAAGAAATTCAGATACAATTATAAATTCTAAATGGTTTTTTTATCATAACCCACTCAATTAATTACAGAGTAATAATAATTTAAACATTTTGTTTTTTTGGTTATTTGGTTATTTTTCGTTACATATTATTCTTGAATTATTAACTATGTAATACTTTTTAAGTTCATCCCTTATGCCTGGTAAGGGTGTCAACTTTGTTTTTTTAAATGGTAACACATATTTTGAATTTAATAAAATGTTTGAGTTTTTAATTTAATAGTAAATGGCATTTAAATTTTTAGTATAAATTTATTTGTTTATTATATATAAACACTTAAAGTTTCAAATTTTTGAGTTAACATACATGTATAATACACAAGGAATTACAAATACAGGTAGCTAATTGGTTTTTTATGACATTGATATTAGCAGGTACACAGCATTGTTATTATCAGTGGTAGTAAGGCACATTGTTATGAGTTTATAAATACACTAACTGACAATACAGAAAGTATATCTATTGATATTATCAATTATTATCAATTATATATCATAATTGATAATAAACAATCCGTGACTGTGACAGCAATGTCATAAAAATCCAATTAACTACCTGTATTTATAATCCCTCGTGTATTATGCATGTATATCAACTCAAAAATTTGAAACTTTAAATGTTTATATCTATAAAACTAATTAAGTTATACTGAAAATTCAAATGCCATTAACTAATGAATTAAAAATCCAAACATTTTATTATGTATTAACTTTAAATTATTTATGTGTGGATAGCATGTGTTTCCTCTTTCTTTTAGCCAACGCTAAAGAGCAAGTGTTTTTCATTTATTTCCGATTAACATTAACAGATGTGTTCTAATGCTGTCTATGGTGTTTGATATATTATTTGATTTTGTTTAAATATTTTATTTCATTTTTGTTATCAGCCTATCTTTATAAACAAGATTTTTGATACATTCGTATTTTTGTCCATGTTTAATTTAACTTTCTTTTTTAATAACTTAATTTAGATACCATATAAATCTTAACTGTAATATTTATTTTTATTACATGAGTTAAATTTGGTTTATATATAGTCATTTATATTTAGCGACATATTAACTCAAATTAAATTATTGGATAACTTAAATTCCACCTATGATCTGGTAATCATTAATCAATTTATATGTATATTATCGCATAATTTTTACACTATGCTTTGGAACAAATGTGAAATCGATTACTTGTCAGGCAAATTTTTTTTTTCGTCCACTTATTGTAGATATATTTTATGCAGTTGAAAAAAAAATTGTCCGCATCATTCCACCCTTTTTTAATTTATTAATTTGATGTAAAGAAGTCTTTATATGATAACATACATTTTGAGTTATATTATAATATACTTTCTTTATAAATATCATATATTTGGTTAAATTTTACAAAAGTTGCAAGTGGGCTATTTGTAGGCCTGCAACAACCACATGGTTTGTCACTACATAAAGACTGTGCATTACCCACTGTGCAATAATTTGTTTCACAAACGTTTCTGGACTGTTTTGTTGAAACATGCAACATTACAAATTGCGTTCCATAAGAGTATGAAAAACGTCCCTGCGACTACATTTGTCCAGTAATACTAACACTTATAAAACATATGTCAAACATTTCATTGTAACTTTTGTTGTAGAGATGTTTTACTAAAAACATAGAAGGTCGCTAAGAATGTTATATTATATAACATTATTAGAATATATATATTTATGTATATTTAAATTATACATATAATACATTTTTTTAAGTTGGAGTTATATTTTTAGACTTTTAATTATAAATTACACAAATAAATATTTTTTAAATTATATAAGTAAAAATAATTTATCTATTTCTATCTGTATAATTTATACATATTTGTTTGTTTATTTAATTTACAAATTAAAATGAATAAAAAATTTCATTAAGTTAAACAAAAAAATTATAGAATTATAATTTATTTCCTTAGTTCTTTACTATTTACATATTGTCTGGGTGTTTGTTTTTTTTATAATCAAGTCCTTCGTATAAGTGGTTAGCGATCCGACTTTCCTTATTGCAAGGGAGCCATGATGGTAGCAACACCACAATCCGTTGCATGGTCCAAGTCATCATCTCTCATGTTACAAATTTTAAGATAAAAAAAAAATTATCTGACGACTTATCTTTTATGCGCAAATGATTGTCGTAGTTGAAAATACATGTTATTTTATAATTTAGTTTTTTTTTAATTTTGTTAGGTAAGGGGGTCCCCACCAAAAATCTTCAACATGAAATTATCATTGTGCAAATTTTTTTTAAATATCAATTTTAAACCGCTATTTTTTAAACAATATACAACTAGATGATTTTTTATATTTTAAAACGACTTACAATGATCGCCATAGTAATGAAGTCACCGATTTTTATAAAAGTTACATGATATTACCTTCAAAAATTGGAAAAAATTTCTTCGATTCCTGTAAATGAAGAACATTTTTTCAAAAAAATTACAATTTTAATAATTCAAAGTTTTTTTAACTTGTTTTATTTTTTTTAAATTGACATAACATTTTTATAAATGCCCAAATTAAATGCTTTAACTATTAAATTTCCTAAAATTAAACACTATCTACAGATTAGCATAGAAGCGTTTTTTATAATAGTGATTTTAATCACTGCCAGATATCATTTATACTGTATAAAGTGGTTCCATCTATACCACATTCATATTCAGTTGCGACCCCTCAGTGCTATTGTTTTTTTTTATATTCTTCAATTTTATCTTATTTTCTCAAATGTTTTTAGTAGCAATATATCGAAAAAAAATGTATTATTAGTGAAAAAATATAGGCATGACTAAATTTTGCTTAAGAATAAAATGAATAATATTAGAGTTTAATTTAAATAATAATATTAATTTTTATAACTTTATGAATGAAAATTTTAATTGAACTACCTTTCACTTAATTAGGTATAATTATTTAATAATCTAAACTATTAAATATAGACATTTTAATATATTTAATATATATTAAACAATTATTATCACATAGCGATTCGATATTCAGGTGACGATGAAATATGCCAATTTGAAAAAGATACGAAAAGAAAAGCAAAAGAAAATGGAATTTTGGAATTATTAATAAAAGCTCGTGAAAATGGATGTAAATGGAATACAAAAATAATAAATGCTGCGGCTAAAAACGGATATATAGAAATCTTAAAATATTTACATATAAATGAATGTCCTTGGGATGAAAGTACAACAGAAGCAACTGCACAATATGGTAATTTGGAATGCTTGATATATGCTCATATAAATGGATGTCCGTGGGATAAAAGAACAACAAAAGCAGCTGCTTCTAATGGTAAATTAGAATGTTTAAAATATGCTCATGATAATAAATGTCCTTGGGATGAAAGCACAACTCAAGCAGCTGCTTCTAATGGTGAAATAGAATGTTTAAAATATGCCCACGAAAATGGCTGTGAATGGAATCAATTCAATATTGTAGTGAGTGCTATTCAAACAGGTAATCTAGAAATATTAAAATATGCCCGCGAAAATTTATGTGAATTGAATAAAGACGCAATTAATATGGCTGCTTTAAATGGTAATATAGAAATTTTTAAATATTTACATAAAAATGAATGTCCTTGGGATGAAAGCACAACAGAAGCAGCTGCCTCTCGTGGTAATTTAGAATGTTTAAAATATGCCCATGAAAATAAATGTCCTTGGAATGAACATACAACAGAAGCAGCTGCCTCTCATAATAAATTAGAATGTTTAAAGTATGCTCATGAAAATGGATGTCCGTGGAATGAAGATATAACTCTGGAAGCTGCATTGAACGGTAATTTGGAATGTTTAAAATATGCTCATGAAAATGGATGTCCGTGGGATGAAGGTACAACAGAAGAGGCTGCTTTTCGTGGTAATTTAGAATGTTTAAAATATGCTCATGAAAATGGCTGTGAATGGGATCAATACTATATTGTGTCATGTGCTATTCAAATAGGTAATCTAGAAATATTAAAATATGCCCACGAAAATTTATGTGAATTGAATAAAGACGCAATTTATATGGCTGCTTTAAATGGTCATATAGAAATTTTAAAATATTTACATAAAAATGAATGTCCTTGGGATGAAAGCACAACAGAAGCAGCTGCCTCTCGTGGTAATTTAGAATGTTTAAAGTATGCTCATGAAAATGGATGCCCATGGGGTGAAAGCACAACTGAGGCAGCTGCTTTTAATGGTAAATTAGAATGTTTAAAATATGCACGTGAAAATGGATGCTTTTGGAATAAAACTACAATAAGAGCGGCTGCACAAAACAATAAGTTAGAGTGTTTAAAATATGCTCATGAAAATGGGTGTCCGTGGGATGAATCTACAACTAGAGCTGCTGCAGCGAGTGGCGGTATAGACTGCTTAATATATGCTCACGAAAAAGGATGTAATTGGGATAAACATACGTTAGCTGCAGCAGCTGTGCATGGTAATTTAGATTGTTTAAAATACGCCCGTACTCATGGATGTGATTGGGTTGAAGGTACAATGAGATTGGCTGCAGCGAATGGACATTTAGACTGCATTAAATATGCCCATGAAAATGGTTGTGAATGGGACGAAGGCACAACAAGGGAAGCTGCTGCTAGTGGTCATATTGACTGTTTGAAGTATGCACATAGAAATGGATGTAAATGGGATGAAGGGACAATGAGTGGAGCTGCTGCAAATGGTCATTTAGTCTGCCTAAAATATAGTTATTTTAATGGATGTGTGTGGGACGAAGGGACAACAAGACTTGCTGCTGTAAATGGTCAATTTGATTGCATAAAATTTTCTTATGAAAATAATTGTCCATGGAGTAGAGATACTATATATGAAGCTACTCAAAAAGGTTATACAAGTATAATCAACTATGCTACCGAAAATGGCTGCCTTAATTAATTTTCTGTTGAAATATAATTTTTTTTATTTTAATGATTTAATTTAGCTATTATCACACTATTTTTAAAATAAATTAACTTGAATTTCCATGTGTATCTTAGAAGGTATTGATTTTAATAACAGCATTTCATTGTGAATATTATGAATTTATAAAGAATATAAATATATCGGAAAATTATCCGTTTAGTTGCTAATTAGTGATTATTTCAAAAATTAGATGTGATAGAAATGTTATCATAAATTTGAAATCGACGCTAAAATTGGATTAGAAAACGTATATCTTTATCACTATTAAAAATATTATTGTAGATAAGTTTAGACCAAATTTTTTAAAATTATTTTGTGAAAAGTTTTTATCAAGTACTTTATAATCATTTACTATAGAAGTAACGAAATATAGAATATTATAATTTTTATAACTTCTCTTTCAAATTTATGATAGTAATATTTTTGTATGTGTTACCACTTTTTCTCAGCTCTCACCGAACCGATTTCTTTGAACGATACGTCAAATGATCACTAATCGTATGTAGTCAAAGACATTACCCTCAAAAATTGAAAAAAATTTCCCTCATTCCCCGTAAATGGGGGAAATCTCCAAAAAAATTACAAATTTAAAAATCGCTAATTTTCGAAATTTTTTCAATTTTTTTTACTAAAAACTGCCATAACTTTATCAAAAATGAACAAATCAATATAGTTTTTTTTTTTATAGATGTTTGATGTTTTTACTTATCATTTCGTATATTTTTTTTACAAATCTGACCCTTTACCTGCCCACAGCGAGGGATATAAAATAATATATTTTTCAAAAAAAATTAACATTTTCAACTTAACTTTTGAAATTGTTCCGGAATGTCTGACACTTTTATGTATATCTTAAATTAAAGCTAATGTAATGGACTTTATTATGGAAAATAAAATTTCGGACTTTATTTAGTCTTCACGTTAAAAATGGCTACCGTATGATATTTTTGTGTTAAAATTCTCGATTATATATATTACATTTTTAAAATGTTATAACCTTTTAAAAAATGTAAAAGGTATCTATGATAGTGGTTCAAATATTACACTTGTTAATCACAATATTATAAACCAATTAAAAACAACATTTTTTGAAAATCATAGTTTGTTTAAAACAATAAGTGGAGTAAATTTTACCAATAGCCGGGCACGTTTACATTTAAAAATTAATAAAATTGAAAAAGTTTTAGATGTATATGTTGTAAAAAAAAATAATTTTTCATATGATTTATTACTTGGTCTAGTTGCTATTAAAATATTTAAATTGTCACAGGATGAAAATTTAAATATTTTTCAAAAAATAAATGAAAAAGAAAGTGAATTAGTAAATTGTCAAAAAAAACAAAAGAATGATCTACAATTAAATTTGAATGAATATATTGATGTTAGTATTTTTGAAACTAATTTGCAACATTTAAATGAGAAAGTTAAAATAATAATAATGAACCTCATTAATAAATATAAAGTAATTTTTACTAAGAATTAATATGATGTAGATAGAGTTAAAAGTGAAGAAGCACAAATTAAATTAACAGAAGATAATATATTTCAGAATATATTTCAAAAAAACCATACAGATGTTCAATACTTGATCAAAACGAGATAGAATCTCAAATTACAAATTTATTAGAAGCGGGTCTTATTGAAGAAACTAATTCTCCTTTTGCAGCCCCAGTTACACTAGTGTACAAAAAAGAAGATGGTTGTAGATCTCGTTTATGTATTGATTTTAGAGAATTAAATAAATTAGTTGTTCCTGAGCCACAGCCATTTTCTCGAATTGAAGACATAATGGTGAAGGCAGGAGAATGTACCTGGTTTTCAGCTTTTGATATAAATTCAGCATTTTGGTCTATTCCAATTAGACATAAAGATAGAAAGAAAACAGCGTTTGTGACTCAGGACGGACACTGGCAATGGACATGCTTACCTTTTGGTTTAAAAATATACTCTGCAATATTTCAAAGAACATTAGCAAATATATTAAGGAGATATAATTTAAATGATTTTTGTATAAATTGTATAGATGATATTTTAGTTTTCTCAAAAACATTTGAACAACATGTGAAACATATAGAAGCTTTATTACAAGCAATTAATGAAGAAGGCTTTTGATTTAAATTGTTGAAATGTTATTTTGCAAAAAATTCCTTAAAATATTTGGGACATAAAATTGAAACAAATTCAATTATACCTTTGAAAGATAACCTTAAAGCAATTAAAGATTTTAAGGAACCAACAAATAAAAAGAATATTAGACAATTACTAGGGAAAATCAATTTTCACTATAAATATATTCAAAATGCAACAATACAACTGGAACTGTTACATAATTTGCTAAGGAAAGATGTAAGATTTAGTTGGACAATAGAGTGTCAGCAAGCATTTAATAATATGAAGAAATATCTATGTTCAAGCTCAATTCTATCTATATATAGCTAAAATAAAGAGGTTAAAGGTAAAAGCAAGGACAGATGAACCACTTGGAGAGCTTATATATTACCTTTCACAATATAGTTTTAGGATTATATATGCACCTGATAAGGAGAATATTGAAGCTGATTCTTTATCAAGAAATCCAGTTTTAGAAAACTTTGAAAATGAAGAAGATATATTAAAAGGTATAAATATGGTTACATTAGAAGAAATAATTAGTGACCAACAAAAAAATGCAATTGAGATTAAGGATTCCAAAAGAGTAGTAGAAAAAGGAAATATCAAATTAAAATACCTTAAAAATAGACAAAGAATTTACGTTTCTCAGGAATTTGTCATTTAAGTGAAAATTAAGATCTTATTATTACTTCAAATATATAGATAAAATTATTCACCAATTTTTTAGTGCATGTGAAATATGTAAAAAAAATAAATCAAGAAGTAGCAAAAAAATTGGTTTGCTTTCAAAATTAGGACAAGCGACAAAACCTTATGAAATTATGTCCATTGACACAGTGGGAGGTTTTGGAGGTAATAGATCATCAAAAAAGTATTTACATAGTTTAGTAGATAATAGCAAAGGAGAGTAGGGTCAGAAGCAAATGATAACGGAAAAAAGTGCAACCCCATCGTACACAGTAAACCCAACAAATTCAAACCCACGTGAAACCCAGCAAAGTGGGATCGGAAAAAAGTGCAACCCCACCCCACAACAAATTCAAAACCCGCCAGCTATTCTAGCAGAGGCTGTAAAAGCGAAGTTGGATCGGGAGATGATTCCAGAAAAGAAGTCCAAACGTTTCACTACGGAAACCAAGGGTTTGCTACGCGATCTAGAGAAGGGGCGGCAAAGGCCGGTTCCCAAATAGGAAACAGATTACGGAAAGGGGTATCCGGCTACGCCGGATACTTTGCGTTGAACAATAACAGGAGAAATCGGTAGCACGCCCGACGCGTCGATCGGGTTCGTGGAGGAAATATACAGAAGTAGAATACTCACTAAAACCGATTAATATTTCATATTTAAGTAGAGTATTCGAAATTAAAGTACGTCGAATGTATCTAATGGAGTAGGCAAAAACGAATATTCCAAGTATACGCTAAATAAATAAATATTTAAACTTGTAAATTTGAAAATAATACAATAGTGAATTGTTTGTCATTCGAACAAAACGATTATGAATCGGAAATTCAATGTATAATAATTGACTAAGTAAGAGTCACCGTGTACGATAATTGCCATACATAAAATGTAAAATCTAATACAATATCAGATAATGAAGTCTTAATGTATTTAAAAATATTGCACACATAATTACTATTTTTTCAAATAAAAAAGTAATATAAATAGGAAAAATCATGTTTCATTATTGGGCAACAACACACATAAAAAAAGGTTTTATTCATATTGAAATACAGTACTCGAAATAAAACTTGAATGCATTATTATAATTAATAATTTATTAAAATAATTTATTATTTTTTGACCTTTTTGACCTATTAAATAATATTGTCAACATAGGATATTAGTTTCTTTTAAAAATAAAAAAAAATTAACGTTTCTTTATTAATTAATGTTTATTTATTGTCACGATCACACACATAAAAAAATTTCGTTCTTATTGAAGTAATATACTCGAAATACAAATCGATATAATTATCATCAGAAAAATACGGTTTAATGAGAGACTCAAACCTAAATCAATACAATAATATTGTTAAAAGAATTATGTTGTAAATTAAATAAAGAATAAACGTTTTCGATGAACTCCTAAGCAGACTGCACGTAGTAATTTTGATGATCCTCCATTGTCGAATGGCAATATCTTATGGAATCGAGGTTTGACAGGCTAAAAAGTAAACAATATAAATCAAAATAAAATCCAAGATAACAACTAACAAAAAGCTTACAGTACCATTTTGGAGGAGCGGCGAACAANAACTAACAAAATGCTTACAGTACCATTTTGGAGGAGCGGCGAACAATAAAGGATGGCAAGCAAGGCTAAAAAAAACCAACAGCACAGAACTATCAACACATCAACAGAAGTGAAATTTACCAAAGGTCGTGCACTATCTAAAATTTACAAATCACATTAATTAATACAGTCACTACTATAATAGAGGAGAAAAAAAAGATTTAAATATTTCATTTGTCGTACGATTATCCAATACACATTTTATTAAATAATAACGTCGTTGCTGTTATACTTTCATTAGAAAAGATATTCATATAAAATACAATTGCTGTTTATGTAATAAGATGAACTCCATTGCACACAATTCGATAAATAATCGTATAACTGCATATATATATAAATATATACGTACGAAAAAATCAAAAACATTTGGATCTTATCGGCCGATGCAGTAAACATTACATTGTAATCAACAATAAATAAAATATCTGACGGACCGACCAAATAATTAAAGCAGGCAAAGTAATTAAATTTATTTCAAATAAAATAAGCCAAAATCAGTTACCTGTGTAATACAACCAACATGAATTAGAGCCAGCACTCTTTGGGTCGGTTGACCGCTAATCAATCACAGTCGACCGGGCAAAACAGATGCACGGACTAAAAATTACAAAGTCAAACAATTAATACTGCCATTACCATAATAATAATAAAATATCTACAATTTAAAGTATGTAAGTGTAAAAATATATTTATAAGTATGTATATATATATATATATAGAGAGAGAGAGAGAGAGAGGGAGAGAGATTGAATAGGCTGATGTAGTACAAATATCATCAATAAATGAAATACAAATCAAACTAATGATTAATATATGCAAAGTAAATTAATTAAAATGTATAAAGATGAACTCTAATTTAAGAAAAGTGAATAACAAAGATTATTTTTTTAAAAATTACAAAATCAAATTAATTTATACTGTCATTACCACCATGATTATATCAATAATTTAAAACCGATATCATTATTGCCACAATTTAATAATTACAATATAAAAAGATAAACTTTACTTTAAGAGAAGTCAGTAACAAATAATTTTGTTTAAAATTAGAAATTAAAATGAATTACCCTTGTAATAAAATTAAAACCATCAGCAATTTCCAGAGTATTTGAGTCTAAAAATTACAAAATTAATTTATCGGTGCCATTACCACCATGATAAATCTACATTAATTACTGACCGACCAATATTATTTAACAAATAAAAATGAATTACCCGTGTAATACATCCGTTGTCCATTAGAACCAGCACTCTTGGCCAACGGGCCGACCCATTATTGAAACACTCCTCAGGATACAACAAACTCCTTCTAAAAATTACAAAATCTATCTACAATTTAAAGTATGTAAGTGTAAAAATATAATTAAACGTATGAATATATATACATATAGAGATTGTATAGGCTGATGTAGTACATAGTGCACCAATAAATGAAATACAAATCAAACTAATGATTAAAATGTATAAAGATGAACTCTATTTTAAAAAAAGTCAATAGCAATAAATTTTTTTTAACAAATGAAAATAAATTACCCGTGCAATAAATCCAATAGCGAAGACTGCCATCAATATCTAGCTTAGTTGTAATCATAGCACCACAACGGTAGCACAGTCTAAAAATTACAAAAACAAATTAAATTAATACTGCCGTTTCCCTAATAATATTAACGATTTAAAGATTATCATAATTCAAAAATAATCATAAAGGGAACAACAATTACGCGCAAACAAAAAATTACAAATGTAACGATTGCAAAATTGAAATAATTTACAAAACGCTTTAATTATTACAGTCATTAAAATTAAATATTTAATAATTATCGCGACTGCTGTACAACAATAGTCGATTACACGTTTTAATGAATACTCGAGAACACTACAATATTTATTCATGAGTGCAAATAAATAAAAACGATAACAAAAAGAATATATTTTATGAATTTATTCAATACACATTACACCACATTTCAGTCACCAAGGGATAGATAAAATATCGTCGACCGACTATACTTTATTCAACAAAAAAAATAACAAATTACCCGTGTCATAAATCCATTGTCGATCGGAGCCCCAGCACTTTGGGCAGACAGGCCGAGCCGTTATCAAAGCATATCACCTCAGGATGCAACAGACGCCGTCTAAATATTATAAAATCAAATCAAATAACACCGCCACGACCGTTAAAATATCGACAATTAATAAACTACGTAAATCATAATCACTGTAAAATTACCGATGGCACGTTTCGATTAATATATATAATCGCAATAGAACTGAAAAATTTACAAAACCACATTAATAAACGAATACAGTCAATACACTATATCGAAATAACGACAGAATAAACGACGCACAAAACGGCGCGGTGATAACGACGAAAACAGGCCAAGTGGGAGGCGCGCTCCCCTATTTCGCGTCGTTTTCCGTTCCACGGAATCGCGAAATCGGCGAATTTAAGAAAACGGGTACGGCGAAAAATTCGAACGAAGGTAGGAAAAGACGCGAAACGATAGGGGCCGTCGAACGGTACGGAAAAGGAGGCGATAGGAGAAAAAGGTGAATTTTAACGCGTAAAAAACGGCATATCTCTTCCAGGTCGACCTTATTTGAGGGGCTTACGATTTTAGTATATAGCTAGAGACTAGAGACTAGAGACTAGAGACTAGAGACTAGAGATTAACAAATAAAAATAAAGAATTACCCGTGTAATAAATCCGTTGTCGATCAGAGCCCCGGCACTTTGGTCCAACAGGCCGAGCCGTTATCGAAGCATACAACCTCAGGACGCAACAAATGCCGTCTAAAAGTTATAATATCAAATAAATTAATACTGCCATTACAACGATTTTGAAATTATATTGATTACAATCGTTGTAAAAACGTCAGCGCACATTTTTTTTTTGTTTTTTTTAACGAACAGAAATGCGTTACCCGTTTAATAAATCCGTTGTAGATTGTTAACAGCACTATTGATTGAGCCAGCACTCTTGGCCAACGGGCCGAGCCATTATTGAAACATTCCTCAGAATACAACAAACTCCTTCTAAAAATTACAGAATCAAATCAAATAAGACCGTCACAATTCGAGAAATTCCAGCGGCGGTCGGAAAGGACGCGTGACGACGAAACCCGTCGAACGGTACGGGAATCGAGGCGATCGGTGAAAGATCGGAATTTTAAAACGTAAAAAACGCAATATCTCTTCCAGGTCGACCTTATTTAGAGGGGGTGAGATTTTAGTATATAGCTAGAGACTAGAGACTAGATTTCTCGAGATATGCATTTATTTTAACTTCAAAAGGGCAAAGTGCTAAAGACAGCACCAAATAAAAATGGTTTTGGCGGATATACAGGGTTTAAATCCAAAGAAATCAAAGATTATATGAAATTAAAGAATATAATATTAATATTTACATCAGTTGATTGTCCAGAATCAAATGGATTAAATGAAAGACTAAACCAAACATTGGTAAACAGAATAAGATGTAAAATTAATAGTGGAGAAAAAAAAGTATGGTCTAAGATAGCGGAGGAATGTGTAGAGGAATACAACAATACAACACATAGTGTAACAAAATTTTCACCGTCTTATCTATTATTTGGTGTAAAGTCTTATATAGTGCCAAATGAACTTCAAGAAAAAACTTTTAATTTAGAAAAATATAGAGAACAAGCTATAATAAATTCTAATAAAAATTATAAAAAAAGAAGAGACAAAACAAGAAAAGAATATACATTTAAAGAAAATGAGTTAGTATATATAGAAAATGGCAATAAAATGAATAGGAACGAGTTGGATGAAGTTAGAAAAGATCCTTTCTGATTAATAAAACAAATATCAAATTCAATATATGAGATAGAAGAAAAAAGGAAAAAAAATTGTTTCCATAGTAATAAATTAATTCCAGCACAAAATTTGAGTACATAAACTGGAGTTTATGTCTGAAGGAGAGAAGGAATAACAGTGGTGGCACTGCTTATAGGAACACTGTAATTTGTAATGTTTTAATTTGTATAATCATATAGAAGTAGTGTGTAAAATCTATGGTAACATATTTAATAATTAAGGAAAATGGTCTGATTTAAAAAAAAATATGCCGAATTAAAGAAGTATATAAATATTACTTCTCTTAAAAAAATTGTATTGATCCATACATTTTTCAAAGATTTATAGCATTATAAAGTTAAAAATATGAAAAAGAATTTTTTTACAAAAATCGAATTTTTTTTTAATATTAAAGTACATTACATAAGCTTTAATTTAACCAAGGGATAGCTCAGCTAAATGTGCCTTGTTCTCGGGCTGCCACCCTGCCAACTACCGAAGATGCAATGTCTTTAAAGAACTCTAACGACGTAACAAGCTCAACAACAAAAGTAAATTTCTTCATGATAATTTTAACTCGAAACATTTTAATAATAATAATTTCAATGTAAAGGAACATCACCCATTAGTGACAAATAATAATCCCTACTCCCACTCCCCACCAAAAACATTTGCCCAAGCTATAGCTATTGAAATAACTAATACAGGTCATAGCAATCACCCTTCCTCAACGTTAGATATTAACGAAACAATGTCAGATTTTTTTGACAACTTTAAATCACTAATTAATCCCTTTTAATCACACTTCACCAAGTATTCCCAGGTACATATTCAAGGTTATATTACGTACAAGTCGAATCATCCAGACAACACGGCTCACGGTGATGTTGCAATCATCATCAAATCTACTCTGTCTTTCTCACCACTATCAAACTTTACTTGTGATTACTTACAATCTTGTTCTGTCATAATTAAACTAAATTACATACCGATCACTATTGCCTCAATCTACTGTCCTCCAAGACACAACATCTCAGCTTCTCAATTTAACGACTACTTCTCAACAATTAACTCCAATTTCATAATTGGTGGTTACATAAATGCGAAATACCAAAGCTTGGGGTGTCGCGCAACCAACCCGCGTGGTAATGTGCTCTACAATTTTACTAATGTTAAAAAATACTCGATATTGGCTCCATCGGGTCCCACATACTGGCCATCTTCTATACGTGAAAAACCTGATATACTAGACATATTTATTTGTAAAGTGCCAAGTAACTTATACTGCACCCCGGAAAAAATCTTAGATCTAAATTCCGACCATTCATCAGTTCTCTTAACAGTCAGTGCTTCCCCAACAGTTAAAATGACACCTCCTAAACTTTTTTCTCTACTAACAGACCGTATTAAATTCCATAACTTAGTAGATCAAAAGATAAATCTAAATTAAAAATAAAAAACATATGATGATATTGACAATGCAGTGGATAAACTCACTTCTATCATCCAAACAGTGGCCTGGGAGTCATAGTCCAATTCAAATTGTCTTTGGTCTCCTGGAAACCCCTTACTCACACAACACATACGCTTGTTAATAGCTGAAAAAAGGAAAGCCAAAGCACGGTATCAAACCTCTCGCCTACCTTCTCATAAAATAATATACAATAAACTGGCCAACTCGCTTAAAAAATACCTTTCAAAATATAAATCAGATATCCTAGAACAAAAATTATCAAATATATCCTCTTCAGACGGCAGCATTTGGAAAGAAACAAATAAACTTCTACGGTATAAAGCTAACTTACTACCCCTAACAAAAAATGTCACCACAATTGCTGTAACTGATATCTATAGCCCGATTCTCAGCGCAAAAATAATTCAGTATCTTGACTCTGCCATGCTTTTTTATCTCCCCGAAAAAATTTTTGCACCAAACGAAATTAAATCTACAATACAAAAATATTCTCTTAAAAAATCACCTGGCTTTGACTTAATTACCGCTGACGTGGCTAGGTGCATGCCGAAATAAGCTATTCTATTTCTAACCCAATTATTTAATTCAATCTTACATCTTTCATACTTTCCACTTTTATAGAAATTCTCCAATATAATTTTAATTCCCAAACCTGTCAAACCACTGGACTTACCTTAATAATACAGGCCAATAAGCCTATTACCATTTCAAGCAAAAGTATTAAAAATACTAATTCTCAAAAAGATTTTACCCTAAATCGTGACGAATAAGATCCTACCAAACTCTCAATTTGGATTTTACTCGGCGCATAGCACAATACATCAAGTACATTGGTTAGTTGACGCAATCTCATATTCCCTAGAAAAAAAATATTACTGCACTTGTGGATTTTTTTTGGTATGAAGGCTTTCTCTTCAAATTAAAAAAAATTCTTTCCCCCTCCTTATACTTACTGCTTAAGTCTTATCTAACTAACCGCCATTTCCAAATCCGGTTTGGATCTTCTGCCTCGGAAATTGAAAAAATTTTCATTGGTGTCCCTCAGGGTGGAATCCTCTCACCCCTTTTATTCAATATTTACACATCAGACAAGCCTGTCTTTCAAATAATATACTAGCTGAATACACGGATGACAAAGCCATAATCTCAATTGACAAAAACCCCCAAATTGCATCTTCGAACCTTCAAATTCATCTGAATTTAATGTCAGAATGGTACATGAAATGGCGAATTAAACCAAATCCAAATAAGTCAGTACATACAACATTTACTTTATGTCACTCCGTCTGTCCAAATGTCTCTTTAAATAATGTTCCTATTCCAATGTCTAACACAGTCAGATACCTAAGACTCAATTTGGATAGACGCCTTACTTGGAACGCACACATCCGTATCAAAAGACTTGCTTAAATGCCCGTCTCCGTAGTCTACGTCCCTTGCTTACAAATAATAAACACTCTAAACTAAAAGTTAAAGTTCTTATGTATAAAACATTATTAAAACCAATGTGGACCTACGATCTTCAATTGTGGAGTACTGCTAAAGTATCTAATACCAATAAAATCTAACAGTTCCAGAATAATGCCCTTAGAAAAATTACGAATGCTCCACCTTCTGTATCCAATTATACCCTACATAAAGACCTCACAATGAAACCTGTGACAGAAGAAGCTGTAGATTTCTACAAACGCTTTCATAATCGCCTACAAACCCACCAAAATCCATTGATAAAGAGCCTCTATACTCAAACCATACCAGGAAACTTCGAGCGTCGTCTAAAAAAAAACTTGTACCGTGACTTGTTATAATAATAATAAACAAAAAAAAAAAAAACAACCAAATTCTAGACTCTAGAAAGCGTTAATTCCCAGCCAAGTATCCCCAATGGGTGATTTCTTAATTCAAAATATTCATGCTACTATTATAATATCATATATACTTATTGTGCTATGTTATACAGATTGTGTATTTCAAATTGTAAATAAAATAAAAAAAATATTTTTTTTACAGTATACATTTTAAAATTAGGTTTTGTATGATAGTAGTTTTCAAATATAAAATTAAACAATTTTGCATTTAACTCTATTTGATTGTTTTAGTACCAATATATACTCAAAATCTTTTGGTAACATTTTACTGAATAAATATTTTTTTAATAAAAAACAGGAAAACAGTGGGGTCATGGCACAGTGTAGAAGTGGCATAGTTGGGACAGGTATATATGATATCTGACAAAGATTATAATAACTATCATAAGAAACGCTTCGATGAAAATCTGTAGATAGTGTTTAATTTAAAAAAAATTAGAGAACTAATACAAAAATAATTTTTTATTATTTAAAATAATAAAAAAAATTCCTATTTCCTTTATTATTCCTGATTACGAATTTTCTGATTTAGAAGTTTAATATATGAATAAATTATAATTATAGCAATTAGATGAAGAACGAGATTGATATCTAATAATTTAATAGTGCAATTATTTCAGAGAATTTATAAAAAATGTTGAAGTAGTTATTACTTGTATGGCAAACGTGTATAAAAGTTGAAGGGCTTGATATAAAATTTTTTAGATAATAATTTATTCTGAATTATGTATAAATAGCATGTAAAAAGTTATCATCAGAGTCAAAAATAAACTTTTATTATTCATATTTTCGTGCTAATTTCAAATCAACAATTATATTTTTTCTAACGCCAATAATTTTTCAAATTATTATTGTTAGTTAATAACTATAAGAAAAATAGTTCTGAATATTTCAATTGCATTATCTATTTAAACACTAAGAATTACATAATAATTATTGATATTTTTTTTGAAATGATTTATTATGATGAATAAATAATTAAAAACAATAAAAAAATTGTTTTTTAATTATTACAAATTTTGATTTTTAATATATTAAAAGTAATCAGTACAAAGTATCATTTTTAATCTATTTTTTGGTTTTATAAAATTAATTTAGTGAAAGTTTATATAAAAAAAAAATTTAATTTGTTACTATAACTTCTAGCTCACTTCAAGTTTGTAATTTATATTATCAAATAGAAAATTTTATGAGGATTAAAAAAAATGGTTTTATTACAATTAAGATATAATATGCAATCAGGAAAGCTTATTATTACTATTTACAGTCAATTTATCAGAAAAGCTCAATATTTTTTTGCATTTTTATCGTAATAGAACACTTAAATAGAAATCATAGTAATCATTTCTAAGTAACTTTTTTGTGATTAACATGATTCTAAAATTGAAATATTTAGAACTTAATTAATTTTAATGATTTACTTTAACTAAAAGAATCAATCATAACAAAGTTGTTAAAAAAATTTACTCGATTGAGCGTATTATAAATTTTGGTTATAATTGTAAAAATCCATCGTTAAATTCAGGTGAAACTGAAATCTTTTTTTTTTTAGATTTATGATTCATATAACAATATGTAACCATAAAATTTGGAATACTATAAACTGGTTGTAATACACACAAATATAGTTAAAAATTAATAAAATACAAAGAAAATTGATTAAATTTTGTAGTTGAAACATATTATCATATCAAACCGTATTCGATATTAAATACTTTAAAAATAGTAGAAATGAATGATTTTAATTGTCTGTATGAAAAAAGCTGGTTAAGAAAATTTTTATTTGACAAAGTGGATTTTTTTTCAATTTTTTATTATTATTATATTTATGGTCAGTTGTGCAAAAGAGTGATGGTATTGATCAGGATGTAAGACACAGAATTAAGTGCGGGTGGTTGAAGTGGAGAGAAGCGTCTGGCGTGAGGCTGAAAGGTAAATTCTATAAGACTGTAATAAGGCCAGCTATGATTTATAGTTCAGAGTGTTGGGCGGTTGATAAGAAAGTAGAGCAGAGAATGAGTGTAGCAGAGATAAAAATGCTTATATGGATGAGTGGAGTGACTAGAAAAGATATAATAAGGAACGAGCATATAAGAGGGTGTATAGGTGTAGCGTCAATCGTGGATAAGATGAGAGAAAATAGACTTAGATGGTTTGGTCATGTTATGAGGAAAGAAGAATCGGAAGCTGTAAGAACAGTTATAGAAATGAAAGTTGAAGGAAGAAGAGGAAGAGGAAGACCAAAAAAGAGATGGAGGGATGCTATTGAATGCGATTTGAGGACAGCTGATGTGAGCGTAAATGATGTGGGANGACGTAGAGGAAGACCAAAAAGAGTTGATGGGATGCTATTGAATGCGATTTGAGGACAGCTGATGTGAGCGTAGATGATGTGGGATCGTGTCAAGTGGAAGTTTAGAATAAGGGTGGCCGACCCCACGTAGTTGGGATTAAGGCGAGGAAGAAGAAGAAGAAGATATATTTATTTAATAATTTTGACTGTTAAAATTTTTTTATTTAAAAAATAAACATTTTAATAAAACAAAAAATAATAATCAATTGTTATCATATCGCCATTCAATATTTAAATGAAGATGAAATAAAATTGTAATCAGAATAGAAATAGAAGATCATGTAGCTTTTGTAATATTCTATCAATTTTTTAAAATTAAGATTAAATTTAATCTTTTTCAAGATTCAGTAGAGGTCTTAGAAGGTAAAGACGGAAATTAAGTTATTTCCTTGTCTTTTTAGTGTGTGTGGTCCAAATAAGAGGACTTCCAAATTATCTTAATGTTTGACTTGATTAGAATTAGATGTTGGTAAACTACTTAATGTAGTTAATTAACAGTTTTTCTCCGCGTAATGTGCATAGATTTGTCTGGGTTTACTTAAATTTCGAGTTGGTGATTCAAATGCTTAGGTGATATGAATGATTTTGTAGGATTAAATAAATAACCTCAGGGTCACTATTTAACGAAAGGTAGGGCTGTGTCATCGACATTAATTTCCTACCGAGGTTAAATCATACGTTGGAATATTGGCATTGTATTAAAATGGGGAAATGTCACTTTCTTGTGGGACTCCAGGAAATATACAAAACTAGTTGGAGTAAGTTAAGATCTATCTTACTCTAAAAACTGTGTTTATAAGAAATTCTTAAGTAAGGAAGTATAAATCAGGAAAAAGGGTTTTAAGTTTAAATAGTAATCCGTAAAAACTTTTAATAATTATTGAAATAAATATGAAAAACAATCCCATTTGGTCAAACTTCAACCTCATTATAGCACGTAATGTTATAATGAAAGTGGTTGTTTGATCAAGTCCAATTTTCCACAGTATAAGTTTTCTATACCAATTATACAGATGTTTCATTTTTTAGTAATGGTGGGGAGATGGATTTAATAAAATAATAAAAAAAAATTCTATGCGTTTGAATCACCCATATATATATATATATAGAATTTATTGTTCGAAAACTGGTTTTTATTGTTATATTTGTTTATAACAATTGAACTGTTTCCTAACTTTTTTAACACTCTGTAAATTACAGTATTTTTCTATACGTATTTATTGTTCTGAGAATTATTCCGGTTAGCAATTTCATTTTGTATGAAATTCCTTATTTTTTTTATAAATAAATGATTAATGAGCGAATAATGTGTTGTATCAAACATTTTATGTAACGCCTCAATTATTTCTTTGACTTGAACCCTAATTGCTCTAACACTTTCTTTCTCTCTTTGTTTCTGACCATTTTTTTTTTACTATACACTATTATACAGGGTGTCCTACCACTCACTGACAACTTATATAACTTTTGATCCAGTTAATATTTTTAGTTGATTTTTTTTTAAAATAATAGTTATACGTTAGGTCTATAGCTATATCTCAATAATTAATTTTTTTACATTTTATTAAAAATATTAATTATTTTTAAATTTTAAATAAAATGTAAAAAAAAAATCTAAGATAGCTATTTTGTAGAGTCGAATTCAAGAAAAATTTTAGTAAAAAAATATCTTATTAATATTCAGTAGTAAATATTCTGTAGCGTTTTGAAGTTTGTGAAAATTTGAATTTTCATGTATTATTTTACGGTATTAAACTAAAAATATTAACTGGATCAAAAGTTATATAAGTTGTCAGTGAGTGGTAGGACACCCTGTATAATAGTGATATAACTATTAAATATTATATGAACACTATATAAAAAATACAAATTATTATTACAAAAACAATTTTATATTTTTATTTGAACAAGATAAAATAAAATCAAAATCTACTTAAGAGATGCATAAATAATAAATGGTAGCACATGGTAGAACGTGGTTCAACGGGGACGTGGCATAGTCGGGAAGAGTACATATGATAGCTGACAGTAATTAAAATCACTGTAATAGAAACATTTCAATGCAAATCTGTACATAATATATATCAGTAAAGATGACTGAATTATTCCAAAGGCAACATCAACTTCTATTTCCTTATTTATATCCTGATTGGTAATTCTTTGATTTATAAGTTTAATATGTGAATAAATACTTAGCAATTTAAAGTTTTATTTATTGTATCAAAGTTATATAAGTTGTCAGTGAGTGGTGAGACACCTGTATATATTTTTCAACTAAAAATAATAATTTAAAATACTTTAATATTTACTTTAAGTACTCTTTTTATATTTAAGAATATAGAAGTAGGATTAATTATGTTAGTAGTTGCTTTTACATTAGTGCATATATTCTCATGTAATTAAAAAATTGTTTATAGTTATTCAAAATTTAACACTGAACAATAAGAATAAAAATGAAGGTGAGTAGTACACATTATTTGGGGTGTTCAATTGAAATCCATAAAATTATATCATTTTATTCTAGTTTTGGCAAATGATATCGCTTTTGTTGACAGTAACTTTTGTGGTTTTTAATAAAGGTAAATTCTATTTTTAAATATTTATACAGTATTTTATATGTATTTTTTTTATATTAGTCTGTGCAATTATGATTTTCAATAGTTTCAATATTTGTATGTATACTTTATGAAGTTGTTTTATAGTTTTAATCTGTGAAACATTTATAAACAAATTGATACTCTATGTGATAATGTGTGCTGATGTATTGTAGAACTCCATTTCAACCTAGATTTTTTGGTTACTATTTTTTAGCTTCGATACGAAGCTGAGAAGGTATTAATTTTACTATGATGTGTTTTTTTTTTTTTTTATGTCTGTAGCCACTTTTTCTCAGCTCTCACTCGACCGATTTCTTTCAAAAATACGTCAAAAGATCACAAATCGTATCTAGTTGAAGACATTACCCTTAAAAATTGAAAAAAATTCCCTCGTTCCCGGCAAATGGGGGAAATATGCAAAAAAATTACAAATTTAAAAATCGCTAATTTTCGAAATTTTTTCCCTTTTTTTTCTTAAAACTTCCATAACTTTTTGAAAAATCAACAAATCTACATACATTTTTTTATACTAAAAGCTTAGATATTTACCTTTCACTTGATATCATTTTTTTTTAAATCTATCACTTAACCTGCTCATTGGAGGGGGAATTAAAATAGCAACTTTTTTACAAAAATTAACTTTTTCAACTTAATTTTTGAAAATGTTCCGGAAATACTGCATCCTTCAAACATATATCAAATTAAAGTTTATTTTATGTACTATAAAATGAAAAAAAAAAATTTGCCCCGACACTTTTTCTTCTACATTTAAACGGCTGCCGTAGTTAACAAACACTATTTTTGTGTTAAAATTTTCGATTTTAAATTTTCAACTTAAAAATGTTATAACTTTTTGAAAAATGTATATATCAGCACAAATTTTTTTTTTATAAATACATTATAAGTACATCTTCCATTTGACATACTTTTTATTAAAATTGGACAATTTCCCCTTATATAGGGGGGGTTCAAACTTTGAAACATTGTATAAAAAATAGAACTTTTTCAACTAAACTTTTGAAAATGTTCCGGAAATACTGCGTCCTTTAAACATATATCAAATTAAAG